TGTGCTAGGCACTGGGGACTATGTGATCAGGCTCCAAACACTGGGTCTCTAGTGAGCTTCCTGGCCAGTTAGCATGGCACATGTTTTGTCACAAGTCCTTGCAGGGGACTTGAGCAGATCCTATGGGCTGCCATGGAGAGAAGATTGTTGGAAGCCTGGATCTGAGTTCCCCTGGACTTTACCCCATATGCCTACCTCCCTTTGTTGATTCTGCTTTGCATTTTTTGCTGTAATAAATAATAGTTATGAGCAGGAGTATATGCTAAGCCATATGAGACCTCCGGCAAACTGTTGAATCTGGGGGTAGTTTGGCCACCCTCAATTCCAGGAATAAAGTAAATGAGAATGTGATAACCTTTACTTTCTGACTATAGGTTCTACTGCCCTGAAAACTCACCATTAATTCTTTCTTCTGGAAAGACAGGGCAAATCAGACCAGAGCAAGAGGCAGGCTCCATTCAGGCCTCAGAGGGATGATGATGACCACATGCCTGTCCTGGTTCTACATGGTGATTGGGCAAGTTACTTAACCTTTGCCCACTGTCTCTCTCAATTTCTTAATAGGACCACATCAGACAGCAACTTATAGAGAGCACTATGACAGACTCTTGGTGACTGAGAATGGAGTGAGGAAGGGTGGGTGAATGCAGTTATAATAGTCAATGTACAGGTGTGAAAATGGGAGCAGGTAAACTTGGGAGTTGGTAGAGATGAGGGAGAATGATGGAAGATATGACATAAATTAAGATAGATTTTACTCATTAACATATTGAATTGAAACCCCTTAAATAACAACACTTAAAATAACAATAATAAATAAATTAGAAAAGAAAGAATGGATGGATTAATTTTCTGTGGCATTAGAATCACTGGAATATTGTCAATATTCCTAAATTGACCCATTTTCTTCCCTTTACTTTTCTCTCTTCTTTCCTCCCTTCTTCTTCCTCCCTTCTCTTAGTTGTCCACTAAGAAAAAGGTCCAAGATACTTTTCCCCAGCTGATTATCTTTCCTTAAATGCTGAAATGATAAAAGGATGCAGAATTGTTTTTCATTCAATATGTACAAAAAATGGTCCAAGACCTGTGACTCATGCCTGTAATCCTAGCTACTCTGGAGAATTGTGATTTGAGATTACACCGGGCAGAAAAGTTTGGTAGACTTCAACTCCAAAAGTAACCAGCAAATCTACAAATTTAACGCGATACCTATCCAAATTCTAACTTCATTCTTCAAGGAAATAGAAGAGGCAATCCAAAAATTCATATGGAACAATAAAAGACCCCGAATAGCAAAAACGCTCCTCAACAGAAAGAACACTGCTGGAGGAATATCAATACCAAATTTCAAACTCTACTATAAAGCCATAGTAATCAAAACAGCTTGGTATTGGCATAAGAACAGACCTCAGGACCAATGGAATAGAATTGAAAACCCAGAAATGACCTACAGACCTATAGCCATCTAATCTTCAATAAGGGAGCTAAAACAATAGAATGGAAGAAAGACAGCCTCTTCAGTAAATGGTGCTGGCAAAATTGGTTAACTACATGTAGAAAACTAAAGCTAGATCCTTATATTTCACCCTGCACCAGAATCAACTCCAAATGGATCAAAGACCTTAGAGTCAAAGCAGACACTCTGAAAACATTACAGGATGGAATAGGAGAAACCCTAGGTCTCCTTGGCTCAGGCCGAAATTTTCTGAATAGAGACCCAGAAACACACAAATCAAAGAAAGGTTGGACAAATGGGATTGCATGAAGTTGCAGAGCTTCTGCATGGCAAAGGACATAGCTAGCAAGATCAATAGAAAGCCAATGGATTGGGAGAAGATCTTCGCTAGCCATACAACGGACAAGGGTCTCATATCTAAAATATACTTGGAACTCAAAAAATTAAATCCCCCAACAACAAATCTTCAAAGAAACAACTGCCCAATAAATAAGTGGGCTAAAGACTTAAAGAGAAACTTCTCTGAAGAAGAAAGAAGGATGGCCAATAAACACATGAAGAAATGCTCAACATCCCTAGCCATAAAAGAAATGCAAATCAAAACAACATTGAGATACCACCTCACTCCAGTTAGAATGGCAAAAATCAAGAACTCTAACAACAACAGATGCTGGAGGGGATGTGGACAGATGGGAACCTTACTTCATTGTTGGTGGGAATGTAAACTTGTTCAACCACTTTGGAAAGCAGTATGGAGGTTCCTGAAAAGACTTCACATAGAGCTCCCCTATGACCCAGCAATCCCACTTTTGGGCATTTACCCAAATGTTTACAAACAAGACCACACTAAAGCTACCAGCACAACTATGTTTATTGCAGCATTATTAAGCTAAGATATGGAACCAACCCAGATGCCCCTCAGTAGATGAATGGATCAAGAAAATGTGGTATATATACACAAGGGAATTCTATGCCTCCATCAGAAAGAATGACATTGCCCCATTTGTTAGGAAATGGAAAAACTTGGAAAAAATTATATTAAGTGAAGTAATCCAGGCCCAAAGAAACATAGGTCCCATGATTTCCCTTATTTGCAATATCTAGTATATGTATGAGTCAAGCGGAAAAGGTCAGATAATGTGATGTTAGGAAAATGAACCCTTAGATATGTATTTTAACGTTTTTTTTCTTTCATGCATGTGTTTCTAACATATTTATAAGATTATTTCTTTGTTGCTTTGTATGTCCCTCCCCCACAGTATAACCTCTGCTTTCACTATATTTGATGTCAGTATAACTTGTGGAGGAGATGGGAAAAAACAAGTTGTTTAAGGATACAGGTGGACCTGTTGCAACAATGAGAAGTACAAGTTGTCATGTCGAAAACGAGCTTTACAATGTTGGTGCAGGGGAGGGGGGAGGTTTGGGGGGGAGGGGGGAGTCTGGGAAGGGAGGTGAAGGGTAAACAAAGGAGGAGGCTGCAATGCTTGGTAAGAAATGTACGCATTATCCTGCCCATGTAATTGTAACCCCTCTGTACAGTATGTTCACAAATAAAATAAAATAATAAAAAAGTAACCAGCAAATTAGGACTGGAGGCATAGCCCAAGTGGTAGAGTGCCAGGTAGATAAGCACGAGGCCCTGAATTCAAAGCCCAGTACCACAAACAGGTCCAATATGTGGTCATTAGTATCAGTGGCTCTACATCTTTGCCCCAAATCTTTTACTTTCATCCGGGAAGGTTTCTGAGAGTTGATTAATAATCATAATAATCCTCATTGATGAAATTTTACTGTTCTTCATAATGGTAAATGATATGTGTAACTATAATGGTAAATGGTAAATGAAATGCATAACTGTGCAACTGTACTTTCATAACTTTGTAGGATCTGTCATATAACTAGATTCACAAAGTAAAGAAAAATCCTTCAGTCTAATATTTACTCCAGAATATGTGTTCCCTAAACATTACTTTAAAATGAAAGTGGCTTTACAACTTTGGGCGGGGCGGGGTCGGGGTGGGAGGAGGTTGAGGGAGGTTGGGGAGGGAAGGGATAGTGGGAGAACAATAAAGAAAGGGGTAACAATGCTCGACAAGAAATGTACTCATTGCCTTACTCATGTAACTGTAACTCCCCTGTATGGCATCTTTACAATAAAATAAAATTTAAAAAAATGAAAGTGGCCATTTTGTGTTTCCAGTGGTATACCTCAACTCAGTTTCAATAGAGATGCAAATTTCTACCCAACTGTGCTGTGCTTCTTGGGAACTTTTACATCTCTGATGGACTATTTAGAGAGGGTTCAGACATTACTACCACAAAGGACACTGTGACCAGGAGAGGGTTAACGTCAGCATCATAGAAAGAGAGTCCTTCAAGGAGAGGAGGAAGTTGAGGGAATATCCACTGAATACAAACTCTAGGGTATTGCTAAAATACCTGAGGGATTTTTATTTTTGACCAGGTGATATCAGTGCTTCAGCCTGACATAGCTTGTGTCAGGCTGAGAATTAAGAAGACAAGGAATCAATAAACTCAAGGTATACAACTTCACTTGCAAATAAATGTAATAGTTAAAGGGAAGAGGTCAAGAGAAAAATCAAAGCACAAATATTGGACCAAATAAATGTCTGATAGTTACAAAAATCTCCATAAGCCATCTAATTTATCTACCTTCTCTCTTTCTCCTCAAGGAACTATATTTTCATCATCTCCTGTCACAAATTAAAGATTAATGAAGTCCTTTTGGTCATTTGCTTTGTCAGCCATTAAAATGAGGCCTAAAACTCTGTATTTTGTGGGCCTGCTTCTGTTTTGGAAGGCACAGAAGACACAGATTGACACATTTCTCATCCTAGTTTTTTAGTTAATGCTAATGATTATATGCAGTGATAGAGAGATGAGAAACTCTCTAACTCTCAAATTCATAAATTTCACCAGAGATAGAACTATCAGAAGTGCCACCACAATTTGCCAACACAATGTTCTTATCAGACCCACTGAAACACAGCAACACTAATGACTTGAATTCCTAGTTTTATTTTCCCCAACTCACTTCTGCTTATGTTTATCTAGGAAGATTTCAAGAAGGAAAAATGAAGGTCTGAAAACTACAAATCAAATTAACTCATTCTCTAAAAAAGCACTGAGTTTCCAAGATATTCCAGATGCCCATTATAAACAATAATGACCAAAAAATAGACAAACTTTCATAAAGATTACAGTGTGCTTGAGTATAAGCCAAATGGCAGATAAAAACAATGTGTTAATTGTTTTTTTGTCTGAGACCGAGACTTGGACTTGTTATCTGAGGCTTTCGCTCACTGATAGACAACCTACCACTTGAGCCACACCTCCGACCTATGATGTGTTAATTTTTGAGTAGCTTCAACTCAACTAGCCTTTTAGTGTCATTTCAATTTATCTCATAGTCTATACTTTCTTGGCTAATTAATTCCAATTATTCAGTCCCTACTCAGCAAAGCCCTGTATACCCATCACAGACAATAACGCTACAATACTCGGGTGGATGTTTGATTACCTTAAGTTGGTGGTATATTTTCTTCAGTGCATATGCTTCCTCTTCTGATTTAGGAGTAAGTCTTATCACCTTATCACTACAGAATAAAAAAAAGAAAAAGGTAGTATTTACTTCCCAAGAATAAAGACATTAACCATTTCTTTTTTAAAAACCTCTAAAGAATCTGCCTTGACATTTAAGAAAAACAGCAAAACTTAACGCATATTTTCTACAGTTCTTATTATTCTCTGATTGTATTGTCTTTTGTCCTTGTCTCAAACCTACTCAGTACTTCCTCATACTACAAATTCACATATTATATAATAAATACAGAAAGAGGTCCCCACATTGCCAGGATCAGTGAAAATAAGGGACAGGAATCTTCATGAATAGTTCAGAGCAGATACATAAAAAAGGAAATGCTTGATGATAGAAGAGCCATTCCTTTTCTCTTCTGCTAGGCAAGCCCTCTGCCACTGCTCCCACACTTTTCTTTAAGCCAGTGTTGAAAAGAGATACATATAGTTTTTCACACACTGCATAGAGAAAATCCCATACACTGTACAGAGCACTTTGTTTGGATCCTTTCCACGTGGAGAACAATAGATTAACCCACCTCTTCAGGCCTCTCACTTCTCCAATACAGAACTTCCTGACTGACATGGGCTAAATAGGAGACCCAGGTGTGCTATAAGATATTGATGGCTGTTTGGTTGGGGGAAGGGAAAGTGGGAGAAAAATAAGAGAGGGAGAAACGGGTTCGACAAGAAATGTACTTGATACCTGTAACTGTAACCCCTCTGTACATCACATTGACAATAAAAAAAAGTCGATGGCTCTGCAAATTTTAAATACAAATTTAAAATCAATGTCTACAACCATGGACTTTTTATTATAATCAAAATTACATTTGGACACAGTATAAGGTTCTTAGTAGCATAGGGCTTGAGGTGTTACTCTGAGGAGTTTTTAAGGGATAACACCATTTCTAGACTGACAAATAGATCTTCTCGATTTCCAGATGTGTCATAATGACATAAGTTGGGAAGCACAGCTCTAGATAAAATAGTCACAGCTGTGCAAGAGATTTCTAACGCAGTAGATGCTTATAAAAATATTTATTAATACATTGGTTTAAGGGAGGTTGCTGAGAATAATTAGCTTCTAGGGAAATGAAAACAAATCCTAAGTGAATAAAGTACAATGGAAGTGAATATATTTTCATAATTTTCTGATACTTAACAATGACTAAAAATACAATATTATTAAATATATAAGTATATAATGTCTCAGAAAACAGAAACTACCAGTTCATACACATTTTTTCTCTCTAGCCCCAAAAGAACACCTGGAATAAGCACACTTTCCTATGATCTTACTTTCCAAAAGAATAACAAGATGAAGTTAGGTTAATGTGGAGCCCATCAGTTTCTCTACAGTGTGATTTCTGGATTTGTTGGGCAATTATCATCATCATCATCATCATCACCACCATCATCTTCATCATTATGGCAGTGTTGGTGTTTGAACTCAGAGCCTTAAACTTGTTATGCAGGTGCTCTACCTTAAAATCTACAACTCTTGCCATTTTTGCTTACTTTATTTTTCAGGTAGGGTATTACAGTTTTTGCCCTGAGACCATTGACTGCTAGCCTCCTACTTGTGTCTGCCATGTAGCATGGATGAGGAGCAGATGTGATCACATCTGTCTTGTGGATTAAGATGGAGTCTTGTCAACTTTTTTCTGGGCTGGCCTTGACCACAATACTCTCAATCTCCAGCTCCAGCATATGCAGGATTAAAGGCATACACTATCACATCTAACTTGTTTTTTTAGTTTTTTGTTTTTATTGTGAAAATACCGTACAGAGGGGTTACAATTATATGGGCAAGATAGTGAGTACATTTCTTATCAAGCATTGTTGCCTCCTCCTTTGTTTCCCCTTCCCATCCCTTCCCATCTCTCACTCCCCAACACCCCTCCCCCCATCCCTGGCCAAAGCTGTAAAGTTCGTTTTCAACATAACGACTTGTACATCTCATTGTTGCAATAGGTCCACCTGTATCCCTATTTAAACAATTTGTTTTTGCCCTTCCCCTCCACAAATTATACCAACATCAAATACAATGAAAGCAGGGCTTATACGGTGGGGGAGGTACATATAATGCAACAAAGAAATCATCTTATAAATAAGTTAGAAACAATCGCAAGAAAGAAAAAAACATTTGAATACTTATCTTGGGGTTCATTTCACCTACCATCAACTTGTCTGACAGTTTCTGTTTGTCTCAGACATATACTAGTTATTGCAAATAAGGCAAAACCATGGGACCTATGTTTCTTTGGGCCTGGCTTACTTGACTTAATATAATTTTTTCCAAGTCTTTCTATTTCCTAACAAATGGGGCAATGTCGTTCTTTCTGATGGAGGCATAGAATTCCATTGTGTATATATACCCCCATTTTCTTGATCCATTCATCTACTGAGGGGCATCTGGGTTGCTTCCGTATCTTAGCTATGGTAAATACTACTGCAATAAACTTAGTTGTGCTGGTAGCTTTAGTATGGTCTTGTTTACGATCATTTGGGTAAGTGCCCAAAAGTGGGATTGCTGGGTCATAGGGGAGCTCTATGTGGAATCTTTTGAGGAACCTCCGGGAATGTAAACTTGTTCAACCACTGTAGAAAATAGCTTGTTGTTTTTTTAAGGCTATGTATTTACTTTCAATTAATTTAATTTTGTAATATCACTATATTTTCCTTAGGTCTATGATTGAAAAGACTCTTGGCTTGCTGACAATAATTTAGTATGTTTTAGGCATTACAGTTTTAATATAGCAAGGTATATTGGTTTCCTTGAATATCACACAGAACAATCTCTTTCTATCAATGTCACAAAGTCTACATTTCAGGAAAAAATAAAAGCAAGTGGAGATAGAAATGGTCAAATCCATATAAAACAACTCTAAAATATTTAAATATAGTCACATCATTTAAATATAGTCACAATTCCTTTTATTTCTGCTACATATCTCTTTGGCTTTTATTTTTCTTGACTTCATCATATCCTGCCCTCTCCAACATGACCCAACACAAATCTTGGCAGAGAAGGAAAACTCAGCAGAGTGATATGGCTTTTTGATGGATGGATCACTTGACAGCTTACTGAGAAACACCTCCATCTGGAGCCCTATCTGCTCCTCCAAGTATAAAGAAAGCAATCTGTAGTCATTCTACAGCCATAAGAACATTTTTTCAAGAGATGGATAATTCAGCCTGGCAATCCATTCGTCTTCCCTGAATACAGGATATAAAGAAACTTCCCTGGGATTATTTAATCCTGAAAGTGATGGTTCAAGACCAGACTTTTTATTTTCACCAAAAACAAAACAAAAAAAAGTTACTTCATCTCAGCCTTTAAAAACTATTAGGTATAATTTTAGGAATGCATTTTAATTATTTTATTCATTATTAAAGAATAGAAAATAAGAAAAAGGGAGAAATGATGGGCAAAAAACAGTCATAATATTCAATATATAAATGTGAAAATGGAATCACATATCTTGAGGAGATGTGTGGGGTTAAGAGAGATAAGGGGAAATGATGGAGAGGGTACATTGAACAAAGTGCATTTGTACTCACAAACGGATAATAATAATAATAATATAAAAGCTATTTAGGAAAATCCATGAGATGTCACATTTTTTTGTAAACTAAGAAGTTATTTTGATAAACCAGGCACTGGTGGTTCATGCCTGTAATCCTAGTGAATCAGGAGGCTGAGATCTGAGGATTATGGTTTGAAGCCAGCTCCAGGTAAGAAAGACTATGAGACTCTTATCTCCAACTAACCACCAGAAAACCAACAGGTGCAGCTGTGACTCAAAATGGTAGAGTACTAGCCTTGAACAAAAGAGCTCAACAACCGTGAGTCTAGCCCTGAGTTCAAGCCCTATGATGGACAAAAAAACCCAAGACTATTTAGATAGATCACCTATAACTAGGACCTGATGAGGACTCTGCAAGATAAAAACCCACAGAAACAGAACCCGAAATAGTCCATTTGTTTCATCAAAGAATTTATGCATTCTAAATTTGATAGGTAGATTTTTTAATGTGTGGGAAATGTACCTTGGTACTATGAAGAGGGAAGTTTCACACACCATCTACCTACTGGAACTTAGAAAAAATTACCTGGCACAACTATGATAAGCTGATTTTTTTCTTCCGGTCCTGGGGCTTGAACTCTGGGCCTGGGCGCTGTCCCTCAGCTCTTCAGCTCAAGGCTAGCACTCTACCACTTGAGCTACAGCACCACTTTTGGCTTTTTTCTTTTTTTTGCTTATGTGGTGCTGAGGAATCGAACCCAGGGCCTCAGGCATGCAAGGCAAGTGCTCTACCACTGAGCCACCTTCTCAGCCCCTCCCTGAGCTTCTTTTGATCAAGAATAGCACTCTTCAACTTGAGCCACAGCTCTACTTCTCACAGACGTTCCTGCTTGGGCTGACTTTGAACTATGGTCTTCTGATCTCAGCTTCCTGAGTAGCTAGGATTACAGGCATGAGCCATCAGCTCCAGGTGAGTTGAATGATTTTTTTTTAAATTAGAATTTATTGAGAAGGGGCACAGGTACCTCATGCCTATAAACTTAGGTACTTAGGAAGCTGAGATCTGAAGATCACCATTCAAAACCAGCCTGGGAAAAAGTCTGAGACTCTGATCTCCAATTAACCACCAAAAAGGCAGAAGTGAAGCTGTGGCTCAAATAGAAGAGCACTAGTCTTGATCAAAATATCTTAGGGACAGTGCCCGGGCCCTGAGTTCAAACCCGAGGACAGGCACAAGAAAATAAAAAAGAATGCATTGAGGATTTCCCCCCTTACTGCTAAGTAATAACATCAATTAAAACTCCATAGCTACTTTTTGGGATCAAGCTGAGGAAATTGAAGGAATAAGGTATAGCTGAGGTTAGGAGGATTGCGGGTAACCAGACACGTACGTGTACATATGTTTGGGAATTAGATATTTCTAACTCAGAAATCCTATGGACAGTTTCCAAGGAAGGACCGCATGAAAACTTTAAATTATAGTGTAA